TATTCATAAAACATCATTTGAATATTTGGTATTCACATAGTACTTTGCTGGGTATTACCTAAATATGTATAGAAGAGTCAATCGCTAACCACTAAGAAATCACAGTCCAAGAAAATCAACAGTCAACAAATGTTTATTGAGTGTCTACTATTTGCCTGGAACTATGTTTTTTTATAACAACTTTACTGAGATATAATTAACATACAATGAACTGTACATAGTTAAGTGTACAATTTGATAATCTCTAACGTATGCATGTACCTGGGAAACCATCACCACAATCACCTTGTTTCCTATCTCTTAGGTTCATTCTTCTTTGTTTTCTGATGTCCTTTGTCTTGAATACCACTGTTTCATATATTTTGTCTGGTTTTCTAGTTATTCAAGGGAGGAGGGTATATCTAGTCCCTACTGCTGCATCTTGGTTGATGATGAAAGCATGCCTGGACTATTCTAAGTGCTGGATCTAGTAGAGGGAACAAAATGGACAAAATCCTTGGCTTCAAACAGCCTACATTCTAGAGGGGGGTGGCAGACAATAAACATATGAAAAAACTTAATTTGCATAAATAAATGATTTCAGAAAATGTGTGTCAATAAAATAAGATGGTAATGTGATAGAGATGCAGTAAAGGCGTCTCTGGGGAGGTGACATTTGAGGAGATGACTTATGAGAAAGAGGCTGTCACTTGAAGAGCTAACATAAGAGTGCTCCAGGATAAGGATATATGACAAGTCCAAGGGCCCCCAAACAGAAATAAGTTTGACTTACTTGATAGGACAGATACAAGGCCAGTGCAGTTGGAATGTATCTGAGATGGGAGATGAAGTTGGTGTGGTAGGTAGGCTGAGCTTAGAGTAAACGGGTCTTGTAGGTCAGTGCTCCAGTTACCAACTGCTGCATAGCACAGAACAACAACAATCGTGAACCATGCTCATGAAGCTGGGGGTGCCTGGGGTGAGCTAGGCGGCCCTTGCTAAGGGTCTTGTGTGGTTGCAGTCAGGTGGTGGCTCGGGCTGGGGTCATCTCAAAGCTTCTTCATCCCCCTGTCGAGAGCCTGGGCTGTTTAGACGAATAACTGGAGGATGGAACATTCCTGGCTCCTGGGCACCCTCTCTCTCTCTCTCTCTCTCTCTGGTATCTCCACATGGACTTAGGGTAGCCCAATTTTGTACATGGTGGCTAAAGGTTTTGAGAGCAAGTATATCAACAGAAACTGGAAGAAGCTTCAGGGTATTTCCAAACCTAGCTTTGAAGTCACACAATGTCACTCCCACCACATTTGGTTCATCGAGGTAGTCACAAAGATTCACCCAGGTCCAAGGGGAAGGAACATAAATTCTTCTTATTGGAAGAGCATCACATAATGTGTGGATATGTTCTTAAATCACCACACTCATGACAAAGAGTTTGGATTATATTTTTACAGTGGGAAGCCATTGGTGGGTTTTTAACGAGGGAATGATACGCAATGATTTACAATTTTAAAAGACCAATCTGTCAGGATTATTTAGATGCAAAATCAGCATTCAAGCATCGATCGCATTATTATATACCAGCAAAAACAATTAGAAAATAAAATATGAAAACATAATACCATTTACAAGACTGTTTTAAAAATACCAACTACCTAGGAATAAATCCAACAAAAAAATGTGTAAGACCTTTATGCAGAAAACTACAAACATTTTTTGAGAGAAACTAAAGACTAAATAAATGGATATACTATTTTCCAGGATTGTAAGACCAATTACTATAAAGATGTCAGTTTTTCTCAAATTGGTCCATAGTTTCAATGCAATAGCAATCAAAATACCCACAGCTTTTTCTGTAGAATTTGACAAGTTAATTCTAAAATGTATATGGAAATGTGAAGGATTAAGAATAGCAAGCCACTCTTGAAGAAGGAGGAGGAAGAAAGAAAGAGGAGGAGGGACTTTCTGTACTTGATATAGACTTATCATAAAGCCAGTGTGACCCACTATTAAGGCAGTGTGATATTGCCACAAGGAACACAAATAGAAAAATGGATACATGGACCAATGTAACAGAAGAGCCCAGAAATAGACCCATGCACATATGGACACTTGATTTATGTCAAAGAGACATAAATGCCTTTTTTTGGCATTGCAAAAAAAGGAAGGAAAGGATGGTCTTTTCAGTAAATGGAGTTGGAGTAATTGTGTATCCACATGGAAAGGAGGAAGGAAAGAAGGGAGGGGGAGGCATATACTCCACAGAAGTACTTGCACATATGCACTGGGAGACATGTACAAGAATGTTTGTAGCAGCGTTATTCATAACATCCTAATTTAGAGACAACCCAAAGATTCAACAGTAGGATGGATAAATAAAATGTGATATGTTCATAAAACAGATTATTTTACAGCAACAAAAATGAATAAACTGCAGCCTCATAGAGAATAGATGAATCTTAGTTAAAAACATAATATTGAATGAAAGAAGCCAGACACAGAATACATGTGATTTCATTTCCAAAAAATTCAAAACCAGGGAAAACTTTTAGCGATGTATAATCAAGTGATAAAACTATAAAGAAAGGCAAGTCAGGATAGTGACTTTACGAGGGAGATAGGGGTTAACATTGGGAAGGGATTGTAAGGTAGGTCTTCTAACGTGCTGGCTATATTCTATTTCCTGTCTTGGGTGGTGATTATATAGTATTTGTTTCATAATTCATATAGTAGTTGTACACGTACGTTTTATGTACTCCCCTATATGCACGTTATATTGCACAAGAAAAAAGTTTTAAAATACCAAGTTCATTCTGGCTACTGTGTAAGCAGGCAAGTATGCAAGTGGGAAGTCCAGTTGTCCAGTAAAGACATGATGGAGGCTTGGACCAGGGTTGAGAAGTAGTCAGATTTAGGAAATAGTTTAGAGGTACAGGTAACGGGACTTGATATGGAATTTGAAGGGCAAAAAGATAAAGCAACAAACACACTGACAGTCATAAAACACAGCAAGAGAGTATGCAACAGAATTAACTAAGCTTCTGAAACAGAGAACATTAATGTGAAGTGCTAAGTCGTGTGAATGGGTATTAGATGGAGGACTTCTGTCCAACAGATTAGGGAAGGCTTCATAGAAAAGCTGGGAAAACAAACACTTGACTCAGATTGTGGAGGAAACGGATAAGGGGTGATACGGTTAAAGGGAGTAGCGTATATTTACAGGTGGAAGATTTGTATTGTTGTGCACTCTTTGGCCCATTATTATATTTTTGAGACGTTTCATATATTATCTCTCAAATAAGATTTTATCTACTTATGACTACCATTTAGATCCACAATAAAAGGTGTAGCATATTACTTCAATCAGGACTCATTCCATAAGTCCTGATTAAACCATGAAGTCTTGAACAAGTATATCGCACAACTTCTGGAACCCAGGAGCGGCCACAGGAAGCCAACACGATGATCACATGGTCCTGGTGGACTATATAGCAGTGCCTCTGTACTATGGAACACATATTAATAGCTTTTACATTATTGGCTTCGTTTGAACTTCAGGGTGTTAACGGAAATTTTATTATTTTATTTTTAAAATATTTTTTAATAGATTTATTTTTGGCTGCGTTGGGTTTTCGTTGCTGCGCACGGGCTTTCTCTAGTTGCGGCGAGCGGGGGCTACTCTTCGTTGTGGTGCGCGGGCTTCTCATTGCAGTGGCTTCTCTTGTCGCGGAGCACGGGCTCTAGGCGCGTGGGCTTCAGTAGTTGTGGCACGCAGGCTCAGTAGTTGTGGCTCGCGGGCTTAGTTGCTCGGCAGCATGTGGGATCTTCCCGGACCAGGGTTCGAACCCTTGTCCCCTGCACTGGCAGGCGGATTCTCAACCACTGCGCCACCAGGGAAGCCCAGAAATTTTATTTTTTTTTTATTTTTATTTATTTATTTTTTTTGTGGTACCTGGGCCTCTCACTGTTGTGGCCTCTCCCGTTGCGGAGCACAGGTTCCAGACGCGCAGGCTCAGTGGCCATGGCTCACAGACCCAGCCGCTCCGCGGCATGTGGGATCCTCCCAGACCGGGGCACGAACCCATGTCCCCTGCATCGGCAGGCGGACTCTCAACCACTGCGCCACCAGGGAAGCCCAGAAATTTTATTTTTGATACAAGATTTTCTCATTGGATAGACTGATGGGTGTGGGAATAAAGGTGGGGTATATAGAAATAATGTCTAGAAACAGAAGTTTGTGGGAAGGGAGACTTCTCAGTCAACCCACTTCATCTAGGAAGGCTTCCTGAATGAGTCAGAGTTGATTTGAGAATCATCCAGAATTAACAGTAGAAGGAGGGAGGATTTTTTTTTCAGGCTTGTGGTAAAATGAGAGCGGGAGAAGCAATGATTTTAAAACTCCTTGCAGTTTCTGATTTCATTATGATTCTAGGCATGTCACTCCCGTTCATACACCTTATGACATTAAAAAACTTACTGTTGGGCTGAATGATAGTGAATTTTGCTTTGATAGGTGTTTGAGCTTCCACTAGAGCCCTTAAGAGAATTGGAAATGAGAACACTGAACCAGAAGTGGAGAGAAAGCGACAAAGGTAAGATTCTATTAATGAGAGTACAGGCAAAGTGAGATGACACTCACTTTGTGAGTGTGTGACACTCACAAAGTGAGATGAGCTAATGCTCATACATGTTTATGTGAACCAGGCACCATTCTAAGGGTTTTATCTGTATTAACACATTTATTCTCATGACAATACTGTGAGGTCATCCTCATTTTACAGATGAAGAAACCAAGGCCCTGAGAGGTTAGGCACATAAGTTGGCTGAGGTTGCAGAATTGGAATTTGAAGCCAGGTATTCTGACTCTAGATTTCATACACTTAACTGAGGTGCTAGACTTTATCTTTTATTTAGTTATTTATTTTTGGAAGGATGTGAAATATTTATTTTTTAAATTTTTATTGGAGTATAGATGCTTTACACTGTTGTGTTAGTTTTAGGTGTACAGCAAAGTGAATCAGTTATACATATACTATATATTTTTCTTAGAAAAAGAGGAAGAGATAGCATAAATGTTGGAATTTCTTTGTTTCTTCATATTGCTAACATAAACTACAGTGACATTTTAATATGACATACGGAGACAATCATCTCCTCTACTTCAACCCTATTGCTTATTCCTTTGGCTTTCCAATGACAACCATGTCATTCTCTGGAGTGATTCTGAGTTTAAAATGTAGCTGACCTTAGCTCTATTTAAAAAAAAAAAAACCTAAAATATATTTGCTATTTAAAAAAACATTGCATAGCTTATTCATATTTGAACAAAAAAATCAGCTGGGGCCTTCAAGTTAAAGCTCCAAGATAAACAATTAGATTTTTGGCTTTGAAGAATATTGAAATACCTTACAGTGATGTATTGGACTTGGGGTGTTAATGTTCATTAAACTGCAGCATGTTATGGAGGTCCAGGCGCGCTTACCACTAATTACCGGAGGTCACAACAGCTGTCATAATTGACAGTTTTCTTTTTAGCCTCCTTACACTTGAGAGCATGAAACACTGTGGCAAAAACATGCAACTTCCAAATTAGGGCGGATGGATAATGGTACTGTAAAGTAACTGTTCTGCTGAGCTCGGGAGTTCCTACCTATTTAAGTTGTAGACAAACCGTGCAAGCGCAATAAAGACATCTAACTATTCTACAAATCGTCACACCCACCCAGATTAACTAGAAAATAGATCAGAACTGGAATCAGAGTTGCTCTTCAAATAATGCGCTTGGATTTCTTGAAAAGCTACGCCGCAGGAACTCTAACCCTGGTCCCCAAATGCTTTTTAAAGTCTTCCCCAGAAACCCTCCCCCTGCAGCCTCGGCGCCTTCCTAGCTGTGCCCTGCGCAGGGCTCCCCAGCCTCCGCCCTGGACGTCAGCCTCTGCACCCCGAGGCCAGTTCCGAGTGGGGAGCGGCAGAGCGGAGGGAGAGGCGAGCGAGCGAGCGAAATGGTCAAGTCCTCCTTAACTCTGGGCCCCCTCGCGGGCCTCACCCCTCCTCCCAGGGGCTGAGATTGGAGAGGAAGTGGGAAGGCTTCAATCGGTTCCTCACACCAGCGCCCTCATGCCCCCACCCTACTCTTCGGCTCGGGGCTTCGGCGCGCCTCACCGCCGCCCCTCGCCCCGGGAGAGGAGCGGGCGGCGCGGCCGGGCTCGCGGTGAGAGGCCTGGGGCGGCAAGCGGCCTCCGTGGGGCCGCCAGAGCCCGCACCCGTCCGCCCGCTGGAGAGCCAGGCCCGAGGGCAGCCCCGGAGTCCGCGGAGGCCGGATGCGCGGGCGCGTCACTTCCGGGCGGTGCAGCGGCGGCCGCTTGGAAGATGGCTGCGCCCTGTGGCTCGGAGCTGCCCGCCAACTCGCCGCTAAAAATCCCGAAGATGGAGGTGCTCTCCCCGGCTTCTCCTGGTGGCCTAAGCGACGGAAATCCATCGCTCTCCGACCCTTCCACGCCTCGGGGTGCCTCCCCGCTCGGGCCGGGCAGTGCGGCGGGCTCGGGGGCAGCGGCGTCCGGGGGTCTCGGGCTGGGGCTGGGGGGCCGCAGCGCCGCCTCGTCCTCGGTCTCCTTCTCCCCTGGTGGCGGCGGTGGCGGGGCTGCGGCAGCCGCCGCCGCCGCCTGCCGAGGCATGTCGTGGACGCCGGCCGAGACGAACGCGCTCATCGCAGTGTGGGGCAACGAGCGGCTGGTGGAGGCGCGGTACCAGCAGCTGGAGGGAGCCGGCACGGTGTTCGGCAGCAAGGCCCCCGGGCCAGCCATGTACGAGCGCGTGTCCCGGGCCCTGGCAGAGCTGGGCTACGAGCGGACCCCGTCCCAGTGCCGGGAGCGCATCAAGGTAACCGGCCGCCCGGCCTGGGGCAGCGAACCAGAGGCAGAGAGAAGGCGGGGAAGCGGGCCTCGGGGGCGGGGGCCGGTCTGAGCGCAGGGCTCCCCTCCGGGGCCCGGTGGGCGATTCGCATCTCCTCCGCCTTTTTCTTCTCTCCCTGGGAAGGGGGCTTTTTTCCAGATGGCCGCCAGCCCGTAGGTTTCCTGAGTTTGAAGTTGGGCGTGCCTGCCGCCGCCCCTCTTTCTTGCCAATTGAGGATGTTCTTGCGCTCTGAAGTTGGTAGTTTCTCATTGTGCGGCGGGCGGCGGTCCCCGTGCTGCCCGCGCCTCTCGCCCCCACCGCCGGGGCCCCTCGCTTTGTTCTAGGCCGGGGGCTCCTAGGCAGAGGCTTACCGGCCGGGGCGGGATGGAGCAAGGGTAGAAGAGCGGGGCCGCTGAGCCCCCAGTTTAGGAATTTTCAAGTGAGTGGCAGGGGCAGAGCCGTACGAAAGGCGCCTTCGGACGATGGCCTTTGTGTCAGTCGTCTTGTTTCCGACTTGAGCTTGCTTCTAACTCGAAGGGCGACCAAGTCTTGAGATGCTTTGGAGAATTGGAAAGGCTCGGTTGTAGCCAGATAGTGTATTGCTTTCGTGGAGTTAGGAGCACACAGTTAGCCTGGCTGGTAGTTGGTCTGGAATTTGGAGTGTGATGCCTGCAGAGTTAGGTTGGTTTGAGGCCCTGCTATGTTTCTGACTAAACTCCTTGAAAGCCCGTTTTCCCCTGCTTTAGCTGTTGTGCCGGCTGCGGTGACAAGTAAAGTTCTCACTGTGCATTTGGCCATCCTTGTGTACCTGAATGTTTAAATACAGAGGCTTAATTTAGGCTAGAAATTTCACCTCCAGCCGGGTTATCGTTTTGCTCTTGCTACTGACTTTTAATCTAGGAGTTCAGATTTGTAGTCTTGGCAGATACGGAGTTGTTTTTTAGGTAAGCTGGTTCCCTCTTCACAGTGTCTGCTAAAAGATTCTGGTAGGATTCTTGCTCCCAGTTTTCACGGAACTCCTTCTTGTTCAGAGTTATAGTATCTGTGTGCTTCTGGCAGGGATGACACTTTTTGGGGAACTCCTTGGGGGGTAGAAACCCAGTAAGAACTATCATGCTCACACTAGAAAAGGACATTGCTCCAAAGTTCCAGAGATCTTGGCTCAAGTAGTGTTCATCTGAGGACATTGTTGCTTAGAAAATTTGGTCCAGAGACCAAGATATTTCAAACCTATTAACTGTTGTTCAGGGAATTTGACACCCATTTCTCAATTACAAAATTAAATTGGTTTACCTGATAACATGTACCTCTGGGTTCCGTCCCCCCCCCCCCGCCTTTTTTGAACAAGGATGTTATTAAAGTGATAGTTAATAGGTAGGATTAAAGTAGTAGCTAATAGTAGCCACTGTTCTCTGAATCTCACTTGTTGTTCTGTTCAAGGTTAAATTTGGGGGAGAGTTTTTGCATTGTACTGTTTAGCATCTATCCATGAACTTTTCTTGAGTTTAGAAGTGCACTTTAGGTATTTGTCATTTTTCTAGCTTTATTGATTTTTGTCCATAGAAATTTCCCAATCAAAAGGAAACAGTGTCTTATCCAAAACTCACTACTTATAAATCTCACTGGTTATAAAATTGTTTCTCAAATAACCAGGAGATCTTTAGTTGGGTTGCATCTTTGTCCGGTTATGAGAAACATAACCTAAAGCAAGGAAAGGAGATAAAGTGTCTCTGAAGAATTTTTAAAAGAGGATTGTCTTATCTGTCTCCAAACAGATAAGATCAAATTGACCTCAAGCTCTTTTGACTATTTTGAGACTATATAGATGACGGTGATGGGTTCTCTGATCCACAGCAGCAGTTGGCAAGGAGGGTAGATAACTGTTTTTTGTTTTCTTTTTTAAGTGCTCTACTCCTTAAGTCTGATTTCAGCCAAGGAACCAGACTTCTTCATTAACAATGTAGGTCTTTCCTGCTGGAATTATAAGCTCCGTAAGGACAAGTTCTGGTCTCTCTTATTCACAACAGTATTTCCAGTGCCTAGCACATAGTAGGCACTGGATACATATTTGTTAAGTTCACCAAATAAACTAAGTCTAGAAGGAGAATTTTGGAAAGTATAGAAATCTAAAGCAGTGTTACTCAAACTTTAACCCCAAAACATAGACTTTGAAACCCAATTTGAAAAAACTGCATTAAAAACTAAGCTCTGTCCCTCTAGGAGGCTTAATATGAATGTAATCTTAAGCATAGAAGGACACGTAGTAGCTTTACACAGTTATGAGGTGGATGTCCAAGTACTCCAGATTACATTTATGAAAATAAAAACACAACCTTAGAAAATTCTCAGAGAATCCCAAACCCCTGAAACAAATCTTTCGATCCTAGTTTCAGAAATGCCAATTTAGAACAAGTAATTCAGAAATCTCCTTCACTTTATCGTGTTAATGAGAACTGCAAAAAGAAATTAAGTAATCCTTTTGCTTGAGAATTTGAAAAATAGAAACAAAGTAGTGCAGTAAGATATGGACCTGGAAACACATCTTGTTTAGGCTAATGTAGCTCACTTAAGTGTGAACTCATGTCAGAGGCTCCCAGGGAAGGAACACCATGTGTGTCAATTACATTTCTGGTCAAATGTATTTAAATATCTATCAAAATTCAATTATGAAGACCCAGTAAATAATTTCTTCTAAATTTGAAAGGAAGCATGATACATAGTAACTTCAGTTTTTCCCTGAAACTTTCCCTTAATCATAGTTTCAATATATTGATGTAGCAGCCTTCACCTCATCATGTGAAGGCAACAGCAAGCTGAGTCCTGTCGCAGCCTCTTCGCAGACCACCTTCCTGAGTAACCTTAAAGCACGTCACTTCCAGTCTCTGGACTGTGCCTCAGTCCTCTTATCTATACAGTGAAAGTATTAAAGTTTTAAATATTGAAATTGAATTAATGACTCTTGGATTTTGCTACCAAAGTACTATTTTTAAATACTCTCCAAGAAAATATGTATATTTCTAAGCACACAGAATTTTAACTTAAAGTCAGATATAAACTTTTTTTTATTGCTGCAAAGACTTTCATTTTGAAGTCTGACATGTCCTGTTATTGGTATTTGTTCGGCCATTTGGATAAAATGGATGTGTTTGAGACTGCCTTGCTACACATGTTATTGTTTGGTTCTAAAGTTTTGTTGCCTTTTGTTCGTTTGCCAGAAGAAATTTAGTCTGCTAGCAATTTCAGCCTAATTTTGGAGTCAGATTAACAAATAGGTGGTTTTCTGTTCTTTTCTGTAGACCTTGTCTTCATATCTCCATTCGCCAAATACTTGAGTGTTTACTGTCTGCTAGATGTTAGGACGAAGAACTGTAATGTACAGTCCGAGAGCTTACAGTGCAGTTGAAGTCTGTAAACACACAACCAAAGTTAAAAAGCTGTACAAGACAACACAGGGGATAGTATGCAGTGCAGTACTTGATTGAGTGTCGAATGACAGAAGCAGACAATAAGTGTGATAACTGCAAAGGAGGGAGAGATCTCAGCACAGTCCATACTGTAGTAGTTGAAAGACCTATCTAGACTTGGAATTCATGGAAGCATTCACTTCTGAGCCAGATGCTGTATTCACACTTCAGTCAGCTAATCTGATGCACTGCAAAGCCCATTCTCAAGCCCCATATTTTTGGGTGTTCTCCAAAAATTTGCCTCTTGAGGTTTGGCTTTATGTCTTTGAAACAGATGTGTACTTTTAGCTCTCCCTCAAGTTGAAATGCAAGGTGATTGTATGACCTGAAAAACTTGTTTTTGCTGGATCAATGCTGGTTGCCCATCAGGTAAATTTAAAAGTGGTAGGGAGTCTTCTGCCTAGTAAACAAGATGATTAATCTTTTAGGGACTTTGCTTAGATCTGTTCATCATAATTAATCATAATCTTTGGAACAAATATTGTACTTTAGCAGACAAATCACAGTATAGTATATGTGGTCTTCATTTTAGCTATCAAGACTTGTCATTATTTGTCTGTGAGAACCAATAGGGCAAAGATAACTTGGAGCCCAAAGATACCATTGTCCCTGTTTAAGCATTTTAAGACTGTGTATCTCTGAGGACTCTTCTCTGGTGTTTGCAGACAAGACTTTCCTTCTGCATTATCGTTGAAAGATTTTCCAGAAATACGGTATACCACTCAGAGAGTTGGTAAGATTTAGTGAGATTTGTCTCCTTCCATTTCTGTTGTTCTAAAGTCATTGCCACCCGAAAGCTTGTGCGTTCCAGTGTTTTTGTCTGCTTCTGAATCTGACAAAGGCTTGATATGTATCCTAAAAGAATAGACCACCCTAGACTCCTAGCCATACATTTATATTTAGGCTTTCAGTTTTGGAGGTAAGGGATCTAGTAAGCACATGTTAAAACTGTGCATGAACAGGCAGGCATCTGAGTTTATTTCCTGGAGTTTTGGGAAGTCTACTGAAGAGTGGAGTGAAATATTCTGGATCCTTCATTAAGAGGATATATAAAAGGAAAAAAAATTAGAAAATCCATAGTACAAAACAGTGTAGTTCAATAAAACTTTCTGTAATGGTGGAAATTTTCTGTATCTGCTGCAGTTTGGTGTGATAGCCACCAGCCACATGTGGCTGTTGAGCTTTTGGAATGTGGCTAGTGTGCTTGAGGAACTGAATTTTTAATTATATTTCATTTTAGTTAATTAATTTTTAAATTATAAATAACTACATGTGGCTGCTAGTGGCTACCATATTGAACAATGTAGGTAAAAAGTTATTATTCAGAATATTAAAGAAGTCTTTATTTTATGAAAGGATTCTCTTGGCTATACACTCAAACCTCCAAAAGGAGCTCAAAGTTTCTTCTTGCCCTCCCTGTCTCTTTACCCCTGAGTAGGAGGAACCTCGTAGAAGTCAAGAGATATAGTCCACCATCACAGGAAGAGGAACTTTTCCTGTAAGGAATAAAGTATTATAACCTGA